TATTACACAAGAACTTATGACAAAAAGAAGTTGCAAACTAGTGACAGTCGCCTAACACGTGTTGTTGACAATCACTCACACACGCGTAAATAATTATTTGTCGGTGATCATTACTCAAATACTCAAAACTCTTCTAAAATTACAAACGATTACCACTCATTCCCATGCATCAATGGTTGTCAGAGAAAAAAAAGTCTCTCAACTTATCAACGTCTAACGGTCACTTTCGCGCGCCCGAGCAGCTATAGCAAGGCTCACGGCACAACTTTGGGTGGGTCAGTTTGGGTACGGGCACGTACGGCCCAAAACGGATTCTGGCTGCCGGGATCGAGCTAGATTAAATTCGCACGCAAAGTCAAAGAGGCCCACTGAATTACAAAGTCTCAAAAGCTCAAAGGAAATCGCGAAGAAAAAGAGCAACTTCATCACAAGGGCACACAGAGATCGGGTCACTGAGTCAGCTCAGCCCAGCACAGCGGAGATGGCAAAGCAAGAACCAAACTCCGTCGTCTCTGATCTCATCGGCTTCCTAAACGCCGCCCCCACCGCATTCCACGCCGTCGGTAAAAAACCCAGATCCCCTTTTTATTAATTTTCAATCCAGAGTTCGTTCTTTTGTTACTTTGTTGAATTTGAATTTTGAAATGTGGGTTTTTGTTTTTTTTTTTCGATTTTCTGAGCTTTGTTATCTGCTTCGATTTCTCCTGCAGACGAGGCGAAGAAGCGGCTGCGAAGCGCGGGCTACGAGCAAGTTTTGGAGAGGGAGGATTGGAAATTGGAGGCTGGTAAAAAGTATTTCTTCACCAGGAATTACTCCACCATTGTTGCTTTCGCAATCGGTAAAAAGTACGATTAGTTTCTCCATTGTTTTGTATTTTGGACGAGTTTACTTGCTTGTTTTTATCGGTATAATCTCCGTTTAATGTCGAAAAATTCGTAGGGAAAGTGATGGATTTAAAAGTTTTAATCTTTTCGGGGTTTAGTTTTTCGGAAAGCTAAAGTTTGTATTCGGTGTGTTTGTGTGTAGGTATGTTGCTGGAAACGGATTTCATATAGTTGGTGCTCATACTGATAGTCCTTGTCTCAAATTGAAACCGGTTTCCAAGGTATTCTCTTGATTTATTTGAATTTGAATTTGATTGTTACGAAAACGAGATGATGATAACATTTAACAAATGGATACAGTGTGGAAAATTTTGAACGGTTTGGGAATATGGGCGGGTTGTGCAGGTAGCTAAAGGCGGGTACTTGGAAGTGGGTGTCCAAACATATGGCGGTGGCTTGTGGCATACATGGTTCGACCGTGACTTGACAATTGCTGGAAGGGTGATAGTAAGAGAAGAAAAGGATGGCTCTGTTTTGTATTCACATAAACTTGTTAGAATTGAGGAGCCCATAATGCGGATCCCTACTTTGGCAATTCACTTAGACAGGTAATCACACTACGATTTATGACTGCTACTGAAATATGCATTGACAATTCTATTTCCTTGGCTTGATTAGTTCCGCTTTCTCATTTTCGCTAAATGTATATTTTCATTGTCTTTTGGCAGGGATGTTAGAGATGCATTCAAGGTGAATGCGCAGACGCATCTTCTTCCTGTCTTGGCAACGGCAGTCAAGGTAGTCTTGGAATTACATACATCTTAGACACTGTTATACTCATGCCCATTAGACCTAACGAGGATGGTATTTAGTTTTTGAAAGTGGAGTAACTAATGATTTTTCTTGCATAATTTATCATAGATTAGCATAAATTTTTCTTCCTTTTCGATTCATTGTTGCTTTCTTTTACCCAAACAAACTAATTTTGTAGGCAGAGCTCAATAAAGTGGTAGCTGAAGATGGTGAGGCTGATAATGATATTCAGACATCTGGAAAGAAATCTAATGAGAAAACAACCTCAAATGCCTTGAAGCATCATTCACTTCTATTACAGGTTAGTAATTCTGAAATCTAGGCTTTCTTTTCGACATTGGAGGATCGATTGAATTTTTGGTTGATTTCAAATTACATGAACAAATTAATGGGATAATAAAGCAACTATACTCTTTAGATGGTTTCAAGTCTAGGTATCCTCTTATGGTACTTATATTAATTTTCTCTTCCTTTCTTCCAGCTACTTGCAGATCAGCTTGGATGTGAACCGGAACATATCTCTGATTTTGAATTGCAAGCGTGTGATACTCAACCAAGCATAGTAGCCGGTGCAGCAAAAGAATTTGTTTTCTCAGGAAGGCTTGATAATCTTTGCATGTCGTTTTGTTCTCTAAAGGTAAGAGATTTTTTTTTTTTTTTTGAGTTTTTGTTTTGGGTTTTTCCCTCTCTCGGTTTTAATTGTAGGCTCATACTGTGTTCCCTACTGTTTATTACCGATATTACTTTGAGACGGTATATTCTCCTCAGTGGTGCAGTTTATGTAAATCGGAGGAGGAGAGTGTTAATCATGTTAATCATGTTTTTGTCCCTTGTTCTTACTTGATACAGCTGTGGTGGAATTGTTCAAGGAAGTTAGATCAAGTTGGGTTATTCCAAAGGGATGTTTTGAGCTTCTAAGCACCAAGTTGGAGGCTTTAGGAAAGGGGAAGAAAGCTAAAGCTTTGTGGGGCTGTTTGGTGTTGGCAGTTTTTGGAACATTTGGTTGGAGCGTAATAGAAGAATTTTTGAGGATTATAAGGGAGTGGAAGTAGAGAAACTATAGGGTAGAGTTAGATACTGGACAGCCCTCTGGGCATCAATTTCGAATGAGTTCAGGGATTATTCTCTTTCTTATATAGTGATGGATGTGTTAGCAGCCGTAAATTGAATTTGGTTCAGCTTAGTTACTAGTAAAGTAGTCCTACTTAAAAGGTCTTAGCTAGTTTTCTTGTTGGTGGATTTCTTATCCACTTATTGTGGTTCTAAATTGTGGTTTCAACTTGGAGCAGCTGCTTCTTATTTCTTGCTTAATTGTTTACTCCCAGGCATTGATAGACGCAACATCTTCTGATAGCAACCTTGAAGATGAGTCCGGCGTTAGAATGGTGGCTTTGTTTGATCATGAGGAGGTTGGATCTAATTCCGCCCAAGGGGCTGGTTCTCCAGCCATGTTAAATACTCTTTCACGAATTACACACTCCTTCACCACAGATTCTAAGGTAGTGAATCTTCGATGTCCTTTTACTTGTACAGCCACCCTACCCTGTTAACAAACACATCAGTAACTCTGTTTTCATCTGGCAAAGCTTGTTGTTGTACACTGCATTCATTTTTTCCCCCTTTTTCCAGCTGCTCGAGAAAGCTATTCAGAGGAGCTTTCTTGTATCTGCTGACATGGCACATGCCTTGCATCCTAATTATATGGTATGTTTGTTTGATAAGTAATAATTTTTCCAGTGCTGTTAATTTTGCTCCATGCTTACAGACGGATCTTTTCTCAGGACAAACATGAACAGAATCACCAGCCCAAGTTGCATGGCGGACTTGTGATCAAACACAATGCAAATCAACGCTATGCAACCAATGCTGTCACTGCATTAATATTCAGGGAGATAGCAAGGAATCATAGCCTTCCTGTCCAGGTCAGCCCCTCCCTACTTTGGTATTCTGGTTGAGAAAACTAAATAGCACTCTGTTAACGTCAAACTTTGGCAAGAGATAAATGCAGGACTTTGTGGTTCGTAATGACATGGCATGCGGTTCAACCATCGGTCCCATTCTTGCAAGTGGAGTGGGAATACGAACAGTTGATGTAGGTGCGCCGCAGCTGTCAATGCACAGCATACGAGAAATGTGTGCTGTTGATGATGTGAAGCATTCCTACGAGCATTTCAAAGCCTTTTTCCAGGAGTTCACTCGTCTGGATTCCAAGATTAAAGTGGATGCGTAGGTCTACAGTCCGGCATTCTCATCTTCTTCAGAAGCTCATACGAGAGGAGTTGCTTTCGGAAGTTCATGCGAAAAGGAGTCTGCTAGTTGCTCTTGTGACGTCTTTGCTCTAAAGACGGATTCAAACGTAGTAATTGAACAAGCACCACCAGGGGTTCTTCGCGTTTTGGATTCTGGAGGAGCCCCAATTTCTTTAGTTTTGTGTTCCTGCATTCCTGTTTCATTTTATTTAGCAATTTCCTCAAAATTGATGCTGTTACGTCGTTCAGTTAATTGTTCGGGTACGTTATAGCGGGCATGTACCAAATCCAAAACGATGACATGATGTTATGTGTTTTAACTTTTCCACGTTTCAATTATACTACTGATACAGTAGTGTACCCAGTGCAAGAAACCCTCTCCCATCTTGGGGTGGATTTTTTTTGCCAAACTACCATGTCAACCGAATTGCTAACTGTGTGATTTTGTGCCAATCAGTATTGGCACAGTATTGTACTGAATTGAAATTTTATGGTACGGTATTGGTATATGATACCATTATCACGGTATTATCATACTGTACCAAAAAATAATAGATGTGATACATCTATATATCACTTTTATCATCCTTAGCTTGCCTTTGAAGAAGTGTTTGGCCTCTGAAATTTGGTAGACTGTTCTAGGATTTGATCGCACTTTAAATAAAATCTAGGCCATTGATTTGATTTTACAAAACTCATCATTTATGTTTTAAGAAATAACATACAGTATATTTTTATTTGTTGAAGTGTAGATCCACTTTCAATTTTGTTTTCGATGTTTTAATAAGTAACGTACAGGACGTTTTAAGGAGTCCCATCATGCCAGCAGGGACTCAAAGAAACAAATCCTTGTTTCATGTGGGCAACATATGGGAGCGGTAAACAACTTTCATAGCTCAAATACACCATCACGCAACGTCCTGTGCTCATGAAATAAGAACATGTGAACAAAGACTTACATGTTGTGCGACACTACCGTAGTGGTGTATCCGTGCCATGTAAGTCCTCACTTAAATGAGCGTCAAACTTCCAACTAGTTTATGCACAACTATTTCAGCAGCAATCTTTGCAATACAAGTAACGAGAGAAAAGCATCGCACTACAACTGTATTGTTCAGTAGAACTCCAAGAAAGTAATCAACAAAATTAAACTGACTGAAATCCATAATTCTTATTTCACAAGTTACTCCTCTCATTAAACTCTCAAGAGTTAAGACAGCAGCCGGTACTATCAGTTTGAAATTCAACAGAACATGGGCAGAGTCGGCAGACAACGTGCAGACAATCGCATATTCAATCGTATGTCAGAAAGTAAATGGACATAAATAAAAAAAGAGCCAGGACTGCTGGATAATATATCCAAGCTAAAGGCAAAGGGACCCTGTTCTACGAAGAGAGCACTTTATGAAGCTCAGAAGTGACCTCTTGGGGAGGCTTCTCCGCTTGAAGATTGGCAACAATGCCTTTCTGGGAATAATAACCAATAACCTGCATATCCAAATAATGAGCCTCGTTACAGACAATAATGACGAGAAATGAAAGCATATGAAACATGAATTGGTGTAACAAACAAGCACGTTGAAAAGCTATCCAACTAAAACAAAAACAAAAAAGACGGGGACCGGAGCAAATAATGTGACAATTCGCAAAAGGATATCAGCCCAGAAACAATGGCTAACATCTCTCTGCACAACCCTGAGACATTTCAAGCACATACTGCCTCGGGTTTTTAGAATATCACAGACAACTCGCTACGGTTCTACAAGAAAGTATACAAGTAAAAACAGATACTTAAAAAAGAAAACACAAACATAATCATCACCTCCCCAAATGGGGCACCTGAATATGAATACAACAAAAACACATTTGCACGAGAAAACTAGCTAATAAATTTTCACAATTCTAGAAACAAGGGATACTTCACTAATTATTTTCTCATCCAAATTTTCAAAGAAAATGTAAGAAGCCATACTGGTTCAGTTTGCTTGTGAAATGCTTCCAGCCTCGATTTGAGCACAGGTGCAGTATCATCCTTACGCTGAATCAGATGTTCTCCAGTTACCTGAACAAAACAAGAAGCAAGGGAAGCATATGCTATTCAGCACAAATTCGCCAATGAGTATAATTGAAGCTCATGCTGAGTATACATACAAGCAGATTGACATAACACTATAGGCTTAGCTACTAAAATTTAAATTCCTTATTCATTACATCCGACATTAAAATGCCTTTTTTTCTTCTCACAGCAAATATTCTTGCCTCTCTCTTTTAAGATTCTTAGATACACAAACAATGTTTTTCTAAGACCAAAAAGAAAGATGCTGCCCCCTTACATCATCAACGCCAGGAGTCTTGGGTGGTGCAAATTTTGTGTGGTAGGATCTACCACTGGATGGGTGTATCCAGCGACCAGTAATCCTCTCTTCCAAGATTGCATCATCGACTGCAAAGTTGAGCACCTTATCAATTTTAGCACCCTGCTTTTTCAGCATCTCATCCAGCTGCATTAAAAAAAATATAATACTTTTAGAGCACGAGGCAACACAAACACGACAATTTTGAAAATATATCAGTTGCAATGTATAATCAGATTCCACAGTACGCAGACCTTCTGTGCTTGGACCACAGTCCTTGGAAATCCATCAAGAATGAAACCTTTCTGACATGAAGGCTTCTTCATTGCTTCATCTATGATGCCAACAACCAAGTCATCCGAAACAAGCTCTCCCTGAAATATAGTTACATTATACCATATCAGAAATTTATTGGGTAATATAAGAACACAGTTCAAAGAAAAAATCTTATGGCAAACCAACATACAAGGAGAAGTTTCTACCTTGTCCATAGCCTCTTTAGCCTTAACCCCAAGAGGAGTCTTAGCAGCAACAGCGGCTCTCAACATATCACCAGTAGCCAAGTGGCATAAGCAATACTCATCCTTAATTATGGGTGATTGGGTGCCTTTCCCTGATCCGGGTGGGCCTGCACCATACAAATTTTAAGATTACACACACGAAAACATCCAAGAAAAGAAAGAAGAACTCCTTCCATGGAAATCTAGCTAGCAAACTGTGAGAAGAACATTCTTTAAGCCTCAACCAAATTGGCCCTTCATGCATCATAACCGAAAGAAGCAACGACATATCCAAAACTCATAGCTTTTCCCTATCTTCCTTCTCGAGGAGGCGAAGGTGGGGATAAAATCTCAATTTAGAACATACATATTGACAGACACACACAGGGATACCTACATGAGTATGCAATGTATTAACAGGTGGCATGCCGGCATGCCAGAATTCGCCAACGTGACATCCTTTGGGAACGAATGTCTCAGCATTTGGCTGCATAATAGAGAATACAATAGCAAGAGAGAGAGAAAGAGAGATGAATAAAAAATTGAGCACCATATCCGTTTGCATCTTAAGAAAAAAACAACACCACAAACAATCCGAATCAAACTCTCAAGCATCCCGAAACCCCATTGGTTAGTAAAGGGAATTAGCTGAAAGACATAATTAAACTAAGTCAAGCAAATTTCAGCAACATTATCTTCTACCGTAGTTATTTTCTATCTGTTTCAACTTTTGATTGGATTTTCCTACATTTTCTCACTAACCAATCAATCAGTCAGGAACGAGAACCCAACTCGAAACAATAGTTCACACATAAATTCTCGGATCTGGGTTGTTCTTAAAAATCAAAACTTGACACGAAATTGAGAACCAGAGGAACAAAAATAAGAGCTTTAATGGAGAATAGGGAGTCACCGATGAGAATGACGCGCTTGTCGGGCTTGGTGGAGCACTTCATGCGGCGGAGGAGCTCGGTCATGAGATCGACGGAGGGCACATCTTCCAGGTTCGCTGCTGCCGCGGAGCTGCCCGCCATGGCTGACTGTTTCTCTCTGGTTTTAGGGTTAGGGTTTTCTCTCTCTAGAATAACGGTAAGAGTGGGCGAAGAGAGAGAGAGAGGGTGTTGTGTGTTTAAGCCTTTAAGGTGTGGGGTTGGTGGTGCTTGAGCTTTGTTCGGACTTCGGATCCTCCAATGCTTCAAACTCAAGCAGCCGTTAGGCCCGTTATACCTACCGGTCTGTTAATTACCTGTTTACCCCTGTCCCTTGGATCTGCTTTGAAATTTTTTTTTTTTTTCCTTTTTTTTTCTTTTTATCTTTATGATTTTGATAATGAAATATATTCTGAATGGGCATTGGGCTAACTACAGAATGAGTCGGCATAATATAATATTTTGAGCACCATCATTGACAGAAATTTGGTGACTCGCTATTTATAAATAAAGATATACTAATAGACCGAAATAATGATAAGAGATTTTGAATGGATATTTGACTAACTATATAATGAGTCATCATAATATAATATTTTTAACGCCATCATTGAGGGTAATTCGTTACTCTTACTTACAAATACAAATAAATACTAATAGAACAAAATAATGAATTTTAGAAGAAAAAAAAAAGGCAGTGCACTAACTCTAAGGAGTCAAAGGACAAAATATCAAAGTCAAATTATGATTTTCTTAATTAGCTTAGTAAAATATAGAGAAAAAGTCAAAAGCTTTGATTATTTATTTTTCTTGATAATATACTTTTTACATCATGCGAATCTGGCCCATGCTTTGTGATGCAATCCCGTTGAATTATTAGACAATTTGGGGTATTAGAAAAAGAAAAAGGAAAAGGTCAAAGGAAAAAAATAGAATAAAAAACCGGGGAGAATTTTGACTTTAGCACTTTTCTTTTTTAAAGAAATTGTTCCAGGAAAATTCAATGACAAGGAATTGCGATGGTGAAATAGCAACAGCAGTTGAGAAACACAGATCACACACATCCACCAAACAAAACCACGTGAAATCGATTCCACCGGTTGCTCGTCCAGCTGCAAACTTCCGGCGGATTTCCGGCCGCAGCTAGGAGTCGAGCTTTCGAGCTTCAGTTCAGGCAAAAAAAGAATCACATGTCAAGCACAAAACATTTAACCATAAACACGAACAGCTTTATAGAGCTAAATCATTGTCGAAAACCTACATTGAACTACAATTTCTATTGTCTACACAACTTGATCCGGACAGCCATAGAAACAGCAAAAAAAAAAAAAAAAAAAAAAAAAAACCGACGTTGATATAAAATTCAACTTGGGATAAAAGTGCAACTAGAAATGTTATTACTACATAGAGTATTAGAACATGGTTTATACTGATAACGTAGAAACCCACTACGAAAACTGTTGACATCGAAACAACATAATGGCAGCAAGCCGGGATATATCCACATGCCCCTCAGGTGCCAATGACAATGTTGATTGTAATTTAGTCGCTGTCTTCACTTTTTGATTTCTTCTTCTTCTTCTTCTTGACATCACTGGCAGCCTGTATATCGTCTCCATTATCATGTTTGCTCTTCTTCTTCTTCTTCTTGGCTGTTCCATCCTCCTCGGCATGTTCGTTATTCGCATCCTCCATGGGTTGATCCTCCTGATCCAATTTTCTCTTGTCCTTCTTCTTCTTCTTCTTTTCAGACTTACCCTCGGCGGCATCTCCATTTGTAGTGGCAGCTGGTTCATCCACAGCCATAGCATCACCATTATCTGCAACTTTTGATTTCTTTTTCTTGCTTTTCTTCCCGGAAGCTTCCTCTGTTTCCATCTCTGTGTCTGTTACATACATATAAACTATCAAAATTACACGGCAGAAAGCAAGCCTACCAACATTTTATATCAAATCAAAGGTTAATCCTAATTCTCATATAACATAATTGACAGATTCGTGACCAGAAATACAATATATTCCTATGGTTGTATTAATGTCGTGTAAAAAACTCTTAAGATCCTCTCAGTTACACACCTTTGCTTTGAGTGCTCTCAATTGCAGATTTCATGACATCAATGTTTTTGCGAGGTGCAACACCCTTGTCATAAAAGTCAAGTCGCTCCTCAACTTGCTCACGGAGCTTCTCCCCAAACACAGTACTGCTACTATCTGCATCACCGAAGGTTGCAACAATATTATTTATGCAGAAATAAACTGTAATACATAAGAAAAGAAAAGTTAGCCAGCCATCACTGTATGAGGAAGGCTGAAACTCACCTGCAAAGCAATCAATGCGAGAAGCAATAGAGCACTTGTTTGCAAGATAACGAGCCATTCGGCCCTTGTTACGTGCAGATGCTCGACCAATAAAAGATGAATGGAATATCAGTCCATATTTGGGTGTGTTTCCCCTGGTTTTTAGTGCCCTGCGGAGAAGAACAAAAGAGTCAACCTAGGGACGTAAAATGAATCTAGAGAGCTTTTTGTTAATTGTTTCTTGTCATACAGATACAACTTTCATGTAGCATCTTGAGGGAAAGGGAGAGTAAAAGCACCTGAAGAGAGCCTTTTCTGCACCTAGGATCTGAAGGGTAGAAGAAGGGCATTTAGCCAAATTTGTAAGACTACCAGCATGAGAAATCAAACGCGCTCCAACTACTTCACCAATTAAAGAGGCCAGATTGGGTGCAATGTCGCTCATTTTAGAAACCAGATAGTCATAAAGCCTTTTCCTGTACTCAGCTAGGTCCATCACCTTCTGTGCAAATTGCTGAACGTTCATCAAGTCAAGTGGAGACAAATCTTGGCCTGTGAAAAATTAAAACAAAAATAACAATAAGAACGATGAATGAATGGATAGAGAAACAGATGAATGAAGGGCATGTATTATGAAATCCTACCCATGGATGCTTTGGCGGCTTCTATAATCTCCTTTGCCTTATCTTCATCTCCAACAAGGTCGGTTAAATCTGATAGATGGTCTTCGGACAGTGTTGACTTGTCTTTAATATATTTTGACACTTTAGCATAGAGATAATTGTCATTGACGATCTTCACCAATTCAGGAAAATGCCAAGAGTACCATTCTCTGCAGAGAAGGAATGAACAAGAATACACAAAAATATTATCTATTCTTTCAATTATTCAATCTTTAAACCCATGCTTTGCCGACATAAATTTGTAAACGGTTCAAGGTAAAATCCTAATTCATATTACTGAACTGAGATATGCCAGTGCACGAATGCCAGTATCAATACCTGACTCTCATGGAGAAGGAATTGATATCCTTATCAAGGGTATCCAGAAGGAAGATTGCTTGAATCACCATATTGTCAACACGGTTGACATTGAACTTGACCTTGGCCCTGCTGTAACTGTGCCCTAGACCAAGCTGGGCTTTCTCTAAGTCCCCAGGCTAGGGTGAGGAAATAACGAAAAATCAAAATTAAAAGATACAAATTCTAAAGGCTATACATCTTAAACCCACAGAAATATAGCAAACTAGAGCACGTATGAATTTAATATAAACAAGATAGGATGTGTAGAATTCAAACCTTTAGACTCTTGAGGAGCGTAACAAAATGTAATCGCACGCCACGAATCAACTCAAGGACAAACTCATTACTTTGGCATGGAATTTTAGTCTCTTCGAATATGTGTGACCCGATCTTAGGTTCGGAAACTCCCAAACTGAACTTTGGCTTCTTACCTTCCTTGACTTGTGGGAGATTTTTTTCCAAAAATTTTCTTAGTTCATCAGTCATAACCCCTGAAACGAAACCGCAACAAATAAGTAAAACCCTTTGTGTTCCTCACCACACCAAATTAAAAGAATAAACTTCATTTAAACACACCAAGCATCCAAGAGAGGCAAAAGTATTCTTCAACAATCAACATTAGTAGATTATATAATCTATTAACCCACTTGAAATTCCACATATGCTTTACGAAACACACTAGCAAGTTTTCCGGAGCAGAAAGGAGAAAGGAACAAAATGAACTTGGGTACCTTAACACAACTAAGCAGCTCATATAGTTAAATACCTAATCAATAGGATCAAAGCTCCAATATCCTATATTTTTGCAAGTTTCGCAAGTTTTTCATGTAAAACTGCGGAACCGGTTAAGTTGTCTCAAAATTTTCTACATTTCTTAATAATCGATAGCGGAAATGTAGATATTCCAATGCAGCAACAGTTAATCAAAATCCCAATACATGCATAAATTATTTGCCTTCAATTTCCTATCAACCAAACAACAACAAAAATCACAAAAACATAAAAATGTTCAAATTTAAATAATCAAACAGAAACAAAAGCAATCAAAAACCCTAAAAGAAACATGCTTTCATTCTCTACCTTCAGAGACTGAGTTGCATTGGTTAAGGGCGTCCAGGGCCGACTCAAATGGGTCGAAAGCTGCGAGCTGGACCACCTTCCCGAACCGGTTGATGTCCGAAATGGAGCCCCGGACCGCCTCGGTGTTCTGCCCGATTTGGTCAATGCCATGAGCGAGGAACAACGAGTAGCCTGAAGCTGATTCGTAGAGCAGGTAAAGCGCCATCGAGCACTCGAAACGGCGGCGTTTAGGGCTTCGGCTTTGTCCGTGGAACCCTCACTTTCTCTCTCTAGAACTGTCAGAATCGGCGGTGGAGAGAGAGGGGAAGGAGAGCTGCAATTCGAGAGGGTTAGGGTTTAGGGTTTTTTCAGTGAGGAAGAAGTGTGCTTTGCTTTTGTAGGTGGCGGCAAGTCGTTCGGTCCGTTGGATGTGTATACTGGGTTTAAAGCTTGGTGAATCTAACGGTTGTGAGGTGTGGGTCCCGAGTAGTTAGCTTGGACGTGTGTGTAGGGTGGTGAGGATGATTTGGGTATGTTTGGATAGCCGCATATTTCAGGACTATTTGGGAATTGGGTTTCTTTAGACAAACTGAGGATATCTATATTCCGGATTAATAATGTAGTTAGAGATGAATTTCATACCTGTATTTTATACGGCACGTCTTGAGTTCGATCTTTGGCACTGGTAAATCACAGATGGTGGCAAAAAAGAGGCTGAAATGTCTCTATGAGTCTTCTCGACTCCTAGAAAAATGAACTATAATAGCAAAACCACTAACTGATTCTATTTAAAAAATAATAATAATAAAGTTCTAGAAAAATGTTGGTACAAGCGTAAAAGGTGTTCATTTTGTCAATGGAAGTTCAAGGTTTAAGGGGTGAAAACTACCTCTCGATCTCTTTTTTGTTTTGTTTTTTGTCTTAAATAATCAAGTAATTAACTATTACAAAACCAAAAGACCGTTTAGATTCTCTCTAAATCGTCAAACCGAGAAAACCAAACGGCTCAGTAATAGTTTGGTTTGAGTTTGGTTTTTGATTTAGTTTATTCTCTCATTTTAGTTCAAACAAACTAAACCGCACCGCACCGCTTACAGTTTACTGTAACTATAACTTGAAAGATAAGATCGATCTAAATTGGATTGAATCACCTCTGCTAAATTAATTTTTCACTTTTACGATCAAATCACTACAAAAATCGTCATTTTTCTTTTCTAGACACCAATCTCCCGCACTCATATTTCACCTACTCTCATTTTCTTCACATCAAAGTAAACCATTACAAATTTACAACAGTGGCACCCGCCATAAACGACATGTCGTCTCATTCGTCCTGTTCCGTAAAATTCTCGAAGTATAGCTCTCTGTAATCGCCGATTAGGGCAATCCAACGGCACTGCGTAGGGAGAAGAAGAAGAAGACCAACCAATGCTTCAACAAATTCAATAGCATCAAATACTTATTCAAATCAAAGAACCAGGTAAAACCAATCTCTGACCCTCTTACTTCTCAATCCGATGCTTCGTTTAATTTGCTTAAAACTAAAGCAAAAAGCTTCACCATATTTACTGAGCCGCCATGGAAGCTTGTATTCAACCTCCACTGCAAAACCCACCTCAAAGTTCTCGAATTTCACCGACCCACAACTTTTTACGGCCTCTTACCTCCAAAAATCATGTGGGTTGTCCTCAGATTCCGCCATTTCAGCTTCCAAGAAGCTCCAGATCGAACCCACCGCCACCCACCACCCTGACTCGGTACTGAGTCTGTTCAGAGCTCACGGGTTGACTCGGAGCCACATCAAAAATCTAATCACCAAACGTCCGGGGTTGCTTTTGGGCGATTTAGACAGTAGCATTGGACCCAATTTGGATTTGTTCAAGTCATTGGGGTTTTCGGGAACCAGCCTTGCGAAAATGGTTGGCAAAGAGCCTCGTGTGCTTGAATGCAATGCGAAAACGGTGTTTGAGTTCTTTAGGAGTCATGGATTGAGTGAAAAGGATATAGCATCCTTGATGATGAAGCTTCCTGCATTGTTTGTATACGATGCAGAGAAGATTTTTAAGCCAAAGATTGAGTTTTTCAGGTCTTTGGGGCTCTCAGAGATTGAAATCGCAACGATTTTGTCCAACGAGCCTTATGTTTTAACTAGGAGCCTTAAACACCACTTCATACCGAGTGTTAAAGCACTTAGGCGGTTTCTTGGCAGTGATGAGAATGTGCTGAAGGCTATAAAGGGATACTACCGGATGCTTGAGTGTAATTTGGAAAAGTTACTTGAGCCGAACATAACATTGTTGAGGAGCCATGGTGTGCCAGAGTCACTGATTGTGAAGATTTTCATGATTCAGCCAAAAACACTGCTTCTGAGGAATGCAGTGCTCAGTGAGATTATTGATTATGTTAAAGATTTGGGTTTTGAACCTAATAATCTGCTATTTGTTTTAGCTGTTCGGAGCATGGCAGTGATGAGTACAGCGCTATGGGAGCAGAAGTTGGAAACTTATACAAGTTTAGGTTTGTCGAAAGATGAGATTTTTGCAGCGTTCAGATCGCAACCCATGTGTATGATTACTTCGGTGAAGAAGATCCATCAATTGATGGATTTTTTCGTGAATAAGTTGAATTTGAAGCCGTCAACGGTTGCGAAGCATCCAAACCTTTTGCTGCTCAGCATGGAGAAGAGAATTCTTCCTAGGTGTTCGGTTCTGCAACTTTTATTGTCACAGGGGTTGATAAAGGAAGACATTAACTTCCCCTATGTGCTCAAACTGACCGAGAAGGCTTTCATGCGGAAGGTAATGAGCAAGTATGAACAAGTGGTTCCTGACATTGTCAAGGCAAATAAAGGCCAGATAGAATTTCAAGGGTTTCCAGTTCCCGTAATATGCAAGTAACAATGATGAAATTGAACGATTGAGCTAGTCCAGAAGGATCCCGAGTTTATTAACTTCATCGTGTTGGCTGTGGATGCTGATCTTACTCATTGGTTGAGAAGTTAAAAGGGAACAAGAGCAAAATATCAACCGGTTGTTTTGCCAACCTTGGATGGCAATAAGAACTGGTCAATTCTGAGAACTAAAGACGAATCAGCATCTATAGCAAGAAACCATGTTTCAGGATAGTAATTTCTTACATGCTGTGAACTCACCGGTAGACATTGTATGTGAGACTTCAAATTTCAATTTATTCAAGGATGTCCAAGTTTGTGAAGCCTTGAGTAGGAACTACACATTTCGAGCAATGTTATGGTCTCTAAACTGTATGATTACTCTTTACATTTTCATTTGTTTGTCTTCCTCTGACTCATTTTGCATTCTGTTTTACTTTGTTGTGGGATTTCAGTGCATCCACGCAGATGTTTAGAGGTGGTTTAGCGTTTTTATGTGTCATGGCATTAGATGAAGAATATAAAAAGAGAGACGTAACTCACCCAATTGTTTGATTAGCGTTTGTATGTGTGCACTGTTATAAAAATCTCCCCCTAAAGCCGCCTAGGCGGCTAGCCACCGCTCCGATTAATGTCTAGGCGTTTGAAAATTAAGAAAGGACGCATAGACCATCTGAGGCGCCCGCCCCGCCTAGGCACCTACCTAGGTTGCGATTCACTTAAACAGAAAATAGATAATTTTCAATTTGCATTTATTTATTTTTTCAATAAATTATAAGAGACTTGTTGAATATTTAAATGTGAACACACTATATTCTTGTTTCCTATGTTTTCATATGTTCTAATACTTCATAATACATATGTCATTCTATTTTGTAGTTATGATAAAATTATATATATTTTAAGTATAAACAAATACTTATTTACATGAAATATAATGAATTTACTTAAATCCGTCTAGTTCGCCTAGGCGCTAGGCCCCAGCCCGCCGCCCGAGTAACGCCTGGTGTCTTTTAGAACTTTGTATGCTTGTTTGTCCGCCTGCACACACAGATGGGCCCCCCTGTATTTTGGTCCCAACCACTCCTCGTGGCCCAACCCATCTGTGTCTATTGCCCATGCGGCGGGCGGGCACAAAAATCTCTCCTTGGTTAGGCCTTAGTTTGGTGGCTAAAGCATTTCATGACTTTAAGGGCCAAAATGGTGGTCTATTTGTGAATGATGAACCATGTCCATGAGAGCTCTTAAGGCAATGCGCACACAGATGGGCCCTCCCCTGTATTTTGGTCCCAACCACTCCTCGTGGCCCAACCCATCTGTGTCTGTTGCCCATGCGGCGGGCGGGCACAAAAATCTCTCCTTGGTTGGGCCTTAGTTTGGTGGCTAAAGCATTTCATGACTTTAGGGGCCAAAATGGTGGTCTATTTGTGAATGGTGAACCATGTCCCTGAGAGCTCTTAAGGCAATGAATGCGAAGGGTAAATGTTCTTAGTGATGATGGTAAAAGCAAGGGCATATATTTCATTCTTCAATAGCATATGTGACCTTTAATCCCATCATCATCATTTAGGCAAAGTAGATTCTTTTTATGTGTAACCACTACACCAATTTGGAGCATATAGGCCACTGCTTTCCACAACATTAGAGTGTTTTGATTTCTTATGTGCAAGTAAATGTAAAAAAAAAGTCGTGAAACAAACTCATTTCCTTTCTTTTCGTATCCATTAGTGACAAGTAAATTAGCCCTAAATAGCTTTTTAGTCAAAACGGCTTCCGAGATTGATATAACTTATATATAACTCATCAGTGTGGTCTCTGATAATAAAAGTCGACAAAAATGATTCCTGAGTTTGTCCACTAATAATTATTTTGGTCATTCTGTGAAAAATTTGTCAATATCATTGTTAATGTGTTACGTGGTTGTCCACATAACCATCTTTTTAGGGTATTTTTGTCAAACCAACTCATTCACTTAATGAAAATATTGATAGATTTTTTAGAGAATGACCAAATGATTTACGGTGGATAAACTCAGAGATCATTGCCATCAATTTTCATTATCAAAAACTAAATTGAGGAGCTAAGCAATCTCAATAACCATTTTAGCTAAAAAATCGATGTTTCTTTATTTTCATTTTGATGATAAAGTACTTTGCATAAAGATATTTGGGCAAATTACATAGTAGCCCCTCATGTTTGATATCTATTACAACCTTATACAACATCTTTAAAACATTTCACTTTCATACCCTACGTACTATTTTATTTCAAAATAATACATCCGTTACATTTTCCATCCATTGATCCGTTAAGTGTTAAGGTGGCTGCCACATTTATGCCATGTGGGTGCCAAATGTGTGCTACGTGGCCAAAAAAAAAAAAATTAATTTTTAATTTTAAAAACCCCACCCCCATACCTGAACCTTAAAAAAAAAAAAGAACCAGAAAACTTGGAACCCCGATCCCATTACCCCCCCCCGGGGAACCCAAATCCCATAACCACCACCCCCTCTGCGAAACCCATGTCCCATATCGCCACCCCCTCCCCCCCCCCCCCCCGCGGCAGCAAAGTCCAGATCTCAACAACCCCCCTCCAAATCATCTTCCATCCATCGCGCGCACCCATCTTCCACCTCCACCTCTGCACCCATCTCCACCTCCTCCGCGCACCCATCTTCCGCTCCTCCAACCTGAGCCCAACCTGTAACCCAGAAAGAAGGAAAAAAAAAACCCAGCGCACCCACCCTCCACCTTAAATCCACACTCATTGGGGAAGATGGGATCTGGGTTGCAGGGAAAGGAAAATGGTTTTTTTTTTTCTTTTCTTTTTTGGGCTGCAAGTAGTGGGTGCGGAGGAGGAGGTGGAGGATGGGTGCACGGTGGGTTTGAGGAAGATAGGAGGGGGAAGAAAGGGGTGGGTTGCAAGGAAAAGGGGGTCGGGGAAGATGAAGATGGGTGTTTTTTTTTCCCTTCCTCTTCTTCTTCTGGGTTACACGTTGGGTTGGGGGGGTGCGGGTTCAGCTTTTGTTTTTGTTTTTTTTTTTAATTTTAATTTAGAAGATTCAAGTTTTTTTTTTAAATTAAAAAGTTTTTTTTGTTGCCACATTTGGCAGCCACGTTAGCACTTAACGGATCAATGGATGGAAAATGTAACATATGTATTATTTTGAAATAAAATAGTATGTGAGGTATGAAAGTGCAATGTTTTAAAGATGTTGTATGAGGTTGTAATAGACCTCAAACCTAAGGGGCTACTACGTAACTTACCCAAGATATTTCATCATGCCATAAATCTCTTCCACCAAGGTCACCAGATCAATTGATCTGGATCTTTAAAATTTCATTCAACGATAAAAAATTATTATTACTTTTAAGGGATCAAAATAGGTGGGTTGTTAGATAAAATTTCAAAAGCTCAGATGATCCGGTGATATTGGTCGAAGATATCCGCTCATGCCTAAAGGTGAAACCAATAATTGGTGATCCCGATCTCTTCTCATTCCAAAAGGTGAAACCAATGATTGGTGGTCCCATTTGAAAGGCAAATATGAATATGATTTATGGTACTGTCTGTTTTTGTCATGACCACTAGATCTGACCATGCAGTATGCAGGTATGCATCCCCAACTATTAGCCTTATCTTATTATTATTATTATTATTATTGTTATTATTATTAAGGGGTGGAGAAATGTTCGAAATTATTACAATAATTTAATAAAGGAGGGAGTGTCAAATTCAGGACACATAGGTGGAAATTTAATAACTTGTTGATTCCTCATTATTATTTATTACATTATAAATTCTTACTTCACTGTCATTACATGTGTAAAACCTAATCTGGGCCAAGAAGTCTAACAAGGGACCTGTAATCAGGGTTTTATAGTAAGGAACTGTAATGAAAAGTTCCCGGTACTGTTCACTTTAAATAAAAACCATATTTTTACACCAAAAAGTTAATCATGATATTATTCACTTTACCTTTTATTTTGTCCTTATCGTTAAAACTTAAAGTTTTCAAATCATTTTCATTAATTTTCCTTTCATATTACGGACGGTGGGAGTAGGACACAACATATGTTCTATACATATAGGACCAGCACCTTAAACAGGGATTTCGCTTCACTGTTCACGAAACGAGATAGCACGGCATTATCGTGTTGCCGTATAGCGCTATAAGGAATGCTACGTAGGCAATACATAATTATCATACATGTGATACGAGGGTACTGTCCATTCCGCTCGAATAGTGAAGCGGGGTCCCTCTTATGATTTCTTTCCAATTAGGGTCACCGGATGTCGTATAGATTGGGTTCTTTTCCCACTCAACCTTCTGTTTCATGGGGAGCCCTCATCTCACACTAACTACTTGCATAATTTATGTGGGGTTTCCATTTTTGAATCATACACATACTTCAACCATGACATTGAAATCATCAATCTTAATAATTTAGCAAGGGCGACTCCAACAAGGCTCTCCAACAAGGCTCTCCGCTTCACAAGGGTTGGCCGGAGGCGGGGGTACACAGCCCCACCTTTGCTTTGCAAAAAGATTGTTTTTACACCTCGAACCAGTTACCTTTCACTAAAAAAGGAACAACATTTCTGTCGCGCTAAGGCTCATCCTCAACAGTTAAGCAATCATATACGTAGAAATAATTTGTTTCTTGCACTTTCTTCAAATTATGTAGTGCACCCATATACTGATAATTTTTCCGAACGATTGACACCAAAAAGTTCTCTTATGTTATCATCTAAACTCCAGAGAAGAGTATTCGAGCTAAAGTGTAGAGAAAAAACACATTGTCCTAACCAACTTAGCTACGCTCAAATACGGAGTAACTTTAATATCTTTGATGGTCATAAAATTGGCACCCACCACTAGCGTATGTCATATCTGTAATCTGCTGTAAACGTGGATAAGGACTTTTAAATCCTTCAGCAAACAGCAAAAGCAAATCCTTGCATGGTTACCTTATTACACACACCACACATTCATTCGAAAGTGCTACTTGCAAGTTGTATTGACTTGGTCAATCTTGCAAGTTCTTGGCATTGTTATTTATCTCTAAGATTACCTGTAAGTGTTTAAAGCTGTGAAAATTTGTTTAGGGTTGCTCGTCGGTTCGAAAACGTTAATATTTCGTCAATCCGCATTCGAAACGATCGAAATTTGAGTTGCGAGTTTTCTGTTTCAATCCAATACAACGTGATTAGTTAGCAGTGCTCAGTAGATTTGTATGGGCTTCGTCTGCTGCTGGTTTTGGTTTGGCACACAGCCTGCAAAGTTATGGTAACAGTCACAAGTTACAAGGACATGCATTCCTTTTACCAATCTACCCTTTTCTTTTACATATTTTGTGTTCACAGTCGAATTAAAAGAAGAAAACTAGCAATGCTCACATAATTTATAAAGTTCTTCTTATTTGCTTTTTCGACTTTCAGTTTGGTTACAAGCTCTTAATATATAAAACAAGTTAAGTTTCTCTCTATTGTTAAGTTTATCATTTTTTTTTTTGGTATTATTCCTCTTTTGAATGGA